AATTTCTAACCTACTTTAAATAAATTACATATTTTTTCTTGTGATAACATTCTAATTTCTTTATGCATTATATAGTGAAAGACCACAAGTATTACACTTTTGCATGTAAAGCAGTAATTTAAAATTGGTTACTATGTATAAATATTGAATACATATCATACATATATATAAAAGTATGTTACAGAGATGCATAAACACATGTCCTGGAATATCCGTAAGTACAGTATAAACATCTAAGTGTTAAACACGTCTACCTAGGTATTTAGTATTCCAGATGTAGCTTAAAAGACCAAGAGATGCATGGAAGAGAAAATGTGCATCTCTCCTCCATCACTCAAAATGGTAGAGATAAAAATCATACTTATTATAATTTGTTATTTTAAGAAAAATATACTCCATTTCTAACAATAAGGAGAAACGCAATGGCAGCTGCAATACAGAATCCAGAGTTTGCTGCTCACACTTGGTATGTAATTACCAGTCCAGCAGAGGTTGGGATGGAGGAAGTACCAAACACTGCTTCATACAGATGCTTTCTATTAATTCAAAGAGGGAAAGTGCTGTGGTCCAAGAACATTCAGACTCTCCCTGCTCTGCTGAAATAAGTGCAACAGAGGGGCTTTAGAATAATGAAGTAGGAGGGGAAATGATAACAAAAGGGAGGTTTTCCTGAGAAGGGGTAGGAAATGACACATAAAAAGAGCCAGGGTGAACATTGTTTCTTACCATAGCAAGAAGAAAGCGCACAATCACGAAACTGTAGTAGTCAAACGTGAAGGCAACTGCGATGCCAAATACAAACTGACCAGCACTTGTGAACCATATAACACGCTGTCTTCCCAGTCTGCAAATCACAGCAGTAACAAAATTATGAATAACCACAAACATTCTGTAAAAACACACCTGCAACTTCAGAGAGCCTATCTGGAAGTGAGTCTGAAAATAGTTTCACTCACCACAGAAACTCTGGTTTAGTTACCTGTACTAATTTTTCAGCAATCCCAGCTTCCAAGAAAAAGGAAGCTCCTATGGATGGAACTTCCAGTCCCCAATTCTTGGCTAGAAGCAATATGCAGAAGTGGGCATTACATATGTTCACCTCCAGTTTCAAGTTTAACTTCTACATAACTAATCTGCAAATTTACTCTGTCTTATTTATGAGGACAGTAGGTAAGACTCGCTTTTTCAGATATTTTATATTAAGTACTGCCCAGTTAATAATTTCTAACAAAAGTTATCTGTGGTAACACAGGCCATCTCTTGCCAAAGTAATAACCAATTTGGATGGTAATGAAAGGCTTCCGTAACATATCTTTGTCCAGTTATTTAAAGCTGAATTCTCTAATAAATGACAACTACATAGTTCCCCTGAATTTTCTGATTGCATCACAGCTCAAATGCATGAATATAAAAACACAGAAAACCAGGAAGCTTGTAGACCAACAGCAAGAAAAATCATGTCAAATACTAGTTTCCCATCAACAAGATAGTAATCTCCAGTGTAAAAGAAGGGCATTTAGTAACAAACAACTTCTATTTGTTTATCTTCTTCCCGTAGCTCAGGGAGCAAATATACCAAGTAGAGCCCATTGTCCCTAAATAAGCGAGCACATGCTATCACTAAGAAGCTCATCTGAGGAGAAAACCTAGAAATCTGCAGTAGATATACAAGACTCTATTGATGATTCATTACATTCTATCTATAAATGTTCTGTAATAAAAAACGCGTGGAATCATTTTTCTTCCCTGATAATATTCTCTTGGACTCTTATTATCTACTTCACGGTGAACAGCTTTTCACAGATGTGGATATCACATTTAGACAGAGAGCTTGAGGACTTTCAGGGGTGTGGGCTCATTTTTCTGTTTTTCTCCATGACTGTCTGGTGCTACCCTAGAACAACTCCTATTTTTCTCAAACCTTGACCTGGAGTCATGCACATTTGGTCTCTGATCCCTGCCAGAAGAGATCCCAGTGAGTCCTAGCTGTCGGCATTCTTCTGTTAATTGGGAATGGGAGGAACCCACAAAATTATTTGCCACCAGCCAGGATGTGTCAGAAAATAATAACTTTCAGCTGTAAAATCTACGTTGTAGTTGTAAATCTGCAATTCAGAATGTGTGCATTATCTTAACTGGCAACCCATGGCTTGAATTAATGGAAATGAGAACAGTATGATCATAACCTTATAAATTTTGTCTGAGTATTAATTAATAAAGCTATGAATAATTTAAAGGGATGCAGAACAAATACTGGCATCATATTCTGGTTTTGTATTAAACATGGTTTTACAAAGCCTTGGATCGGGAGGCAGGATTGATTCCATGTATTCTAAAAGCCAAATTAAAAAAAGATCACCTTTACTTTTGCATTCCCGTGTGGTACCTGCCACACTGTAGCATTGTGCTAATGAGGGAAAATCAGAAAACAATATGCCTGGTCTCCTTTTTCTGCTTATACTGTAGCTGTGGGATAAAACGTCACCCTCCACCTAACAGAGCAGTTAGTCAACAAGCTCCTTTATAGAAAAAGATAAATAACACTAAAACAGCCTTCAAAGCAAAACACAGGTACATAAACTGCCTGAGACAAAACCAAGTACAACATAGCTTAGGTGTTTGACTCTCATATGGATAGAGGGGCATGGCTGAGTGTTCTTCTGAGATAGGAGTATGTCTGTTTGTGTTGAGAGAGAAAACCAAGAGAAGCAGCAGGATATAGATGTACATCCTGGATCTCACAATTGCTTCTCACTCCAGCTCTGATGCTGGATCTCAGCGCATGATCTGAGATAACATTCAGGAAGGGAGTGTCAGAGGGGAGCGAACTGAAGGACAGCCTTGACACCGTGCACAATGGGCTGCTCAGGTTGAGCCCCTCCATGGATGGACTCTCCTCCTGCTCAAACAGAACTGTGTACATGCTGGTAAATAAATGAAACTATGGCACAGCTCACTGACAACCATTCTTCCTCCTACCTGGACTAACCTTCAAGACACTGAAGTTTAGGCTAACCATTCATTGAAAAACTACAATTGGACAGCCGGAGAAAATAGTGTATGGGAGTTTATTTTAAGAATGTGGGGCCTGATCAAACCCTCAAAGTCTTTGAATCAGCCCCACAGAGCAGAATTCATGACAGATGTTAGGAAATTTGTTATTTTAAAATGCATGATTTTTAACCTTCTAGTAGCCCTTCAGCTGTTTATCATATCCAGAAATAAAAATCTATGTTTCCATGAGGAATCTCCCTTGTGGAAAATGAGGTGAAAATCTACTCCCAAGTTTTACTGTTACTATTACTTCTAACAATTGCTATTCCTGTTAAAAAAAAAAAAAAAAAAATCTAAGGGCAAATACTAGCTGCACAGGGCAATTTGAGGGCTCAAGGCCTAGAACAATGGATGTTATAAAGTAGGAAAAAAATTCTAAAAGCAAATGATTTGTGAATACTTTTTATAATTATTACTTGCTATCAGGAAAAGAAATTGAGTTAGACACATCTGTGAATAAAACAATATCCAAACCTCCTGAATTGTGAATATAGATTTACGAATACACAACAAATGAAAACAACAAAACAGTCACTGCAGTCTGAACCTACAATTTTCAGAGGATGGCACTTTACCTGTCAGCAATGTCACCAAAAATCACTGCTCCAACCAAGACTCCAAGCATGAATGTAGGCTGGATTAACTTTGCAAGCCATTCTCGGTCACAGACCAGATCCCATTGCGTAACAACAGTGCTCTTCCACTTTGTATCATCATAGAGAAATCCATCAGAACAAGAAAATACAGACTTGTTGCCTTTGTATTCATATGCCAGATCCAAACTGACTTCCCGTTTGGACCTGCTGCATTGATTAAGTTCCCAAATTTCTCCATTTTCCAGCTGGACTACAATGTAGTTTTCTGTTGACATCCATAGTGTCCATAGGTCGTCTATACTTGATTCAGAGGAGTTGTAGAAAAGAACACTACTCACATTTCCAGGGATCCCACATACAAAGTTAGGAGTAACAGCCATGAACACAGATGCTAAGTAATGGATACCACATGACATAGCTTGAAAGACAGATGCAAAATAAACATATGCTTGAAATCTGTAAAGGGAAAGAAGAAAGTTTACTGAAGAAAAGCCCTCTATACATGAAAAAAAATCAACAATTATTTTGCTAGGATCAGTAAACGGAGACATCATTGAAGTGTCTAGTGTTTTGTTATGTAGTGCTGCTTCAATATTAGCTAAGCCCTGCAAGAGACCAAAGATGAGAAAAGATTCACAGCAGAAGTAATCTATTGTCAGGAAATAAATGCTGCTCTTAGTCATCTCTCAGCCATACAGAGAGAAGATCATTTGAAAAGAAACAATTTTGAACTTCAGCATTTAGTTTGAAGCAACCTTCCACCCTCCAATTCTGTGTAGTACATCCCCTCAAAATAAGGCCTTAGATTACTGGAATGGTTAGAAAAAACCAAAATGTTGCAACCTCAGGTTCTGAGGGATAGAGACGTGTGCATCAAATAAAACAAACCAAACACATTACGCCCTTCATTTCACCTAATTGTATCTATATAACTGTATTACATCTATCTTTCATCTCTCTTTATTGCCTCCAAAAGACAAAGGGAGAAAGCATGTAGACACATGTAGAGGAAGACAGAATCTGAACAGCGTGAAATGTTTTGTACCAAAACATAGCTGTAAACTGGGCTGGGTTTTGGCTTAAACAGTGTGTGCAGTTATCCATTAAAGATCGTATCATAAAGCAAACATGGTAAAAGAATGTTTTATGCACAGACTGAATTTTGGCATTTTAACAGCTTTTAAAACATGTTTAAGATGCAAGTAAGTCTTAGTGTATATATTGCACATGTATTCTGAATTTCAAAAGACTTGCAATAAACTCTAGTATCACCGACTGCAAATTCTAGATAGTTTCTCATCATCTAAGCATAAGGAGTCTTTTCCTCAATGAAATGTTAAAGTTATGCACATAATTAGTACAACATCTGTTCAGAAAACAACATAGCTTTGGTTTCTCCTCCACTTTTTGTTTCCTGAAAGCCAATAAATTGCACTAATTTGAAGAAGCATTCAATGAGTTTCTATATATACATCCTTAGTATGCCTTGATAGTATGAAACAAAAAGTAACTTTTTTTTTCAAATGGTCAGAGGCTATCTCTGCTGAAGTTATAGGAAATGATGCCTAAAAACCAATTGTCTTGAAATGTCTTGTGGGAAAAGTCAGAGCATTTCCAATCCCCGTAGAAAATGCGACCTCTAGATCACTCCTCTCCAAAATGTATCTAATCTAGCCTTGAATGTCCGTAACAAAGATTGCAACAGTACCTAGTCTAGGACTTCTAAATCATCTATCATCACAATTTCTAATGAATTTCTAAACTCTCTATTACCAAAGTATTTAAATAGAATTTGCTGAATACATTATCTTGATGTTCAACTAACCTTTCCAATTAAACAGTTCTCTTGTATAACCTAACTACATTCACCATCCTCATTCTCCTCTGCCTTTTACCTTGTGATTCATATTTCTTTCCTTGGTAGATGTAAACCCAGTTGCCTGTCCTGTCTTTCCAATGGCATTGTTGCTGTTCAGATGCAGTGCTTTTTATCCCCCTTTCTCTTGACAACAGCTCTTTTGACTTTTCCACAGCAGTCTGAGGAGAGGGTTGACTTGCTAAACCCACCGTGGCAGCTCAAAAACTGTCTCCATTTCCCTCTTGAAGATGCCACAAGGCAATCCTCACATAGGTGCTCTGCTGCTCTTTCCCAGAAAACCTTGTGAGAGATATGGTCAAGAGAATCTGAACATAACCACTGCATCCCTTAAGTCTATTAATCCCCTCTCAAGAGAACAGCTTCTTGAGGACTAAGTAGCTAGCCATAAATCAAAGCAAGGCTAAAATGGCCCTGAAAGGCTTTTGGGCTATCTTGGACCACAAAAAAGCAAAGGTTATTCAGAAATGTAACCTTTGTCCCCCTATTAATTCAGACAAATATGGTCGACAACATTTTTAGTTCCTCTTCTCTAGTTTCATTTTAACTGTTCCCATCAAAAGACACCAACTCATTTTAAAAATGGCAGAGGAGGACCAAATTCAACAACTTGGGCTATTGTTGCAGTATGCAGAATGACTTAAATCAGGACTAGACCTCTAGCAAATTAGCAAATTAAATTCCTAGAATCTGTGCAGTTATATCTCCTACTAGCTAATAAAAACTGGCATACTTGGAACCAGGATCTCGTGTTTACAATATCTGTCATTATGCATCAGGAAATGTCAGTGTCAGATAGCCCAGTTGGTATTTCCCAGACAGAGGAAGAATGAAATAATTTCAAACTCCCATACATCCTTCTTGAGTTTCCTAATCACCTCTCCCAGTACAAGAAATATCAGGTTCATAGTTTCTCTTCTACCCAGTAAGAGTGAGCAGGAAAAATATATGCCCTTTCTTGTTGGAGAGGCTTGAAAGATGATAACAACTTGTAAGGATATGGACTGAGAAGACAGCATGAACCAATGCACTACATTATTTTTCACAAACCCAAATCCCAAGAGCATCACCAGAGCTATGATTTGGATCAGGTCTAGGTAATCTCTGCACTAACTGCTCCCTTGAGAGCTGTATCTTATCTCTTCCTGAACACTTCTTGTGATCATACTTCAATAACCTTTTGACAGACTGCTCCACTGTCAAATCTTTCTGTTGGAAAGTTTCGCATTAAATCTAATCTCGATGTCCCTGTTTCTAGTGTAAGACTATTAGCAGCTTATAAAACATCCTTGTACAACCTTGAATAAATCTTCCTTGTCTTTTATCACTTCATTGTACAGAATTACCAGTTATCCCCTTCCAGTTACTTTCTGAAACTATATAAATTACAGTCCCTTACCCTTTCCTCACTTTTCCTTTGTGTCCTATAGAACAGTTTCCACCTCTATAAAAAGCAATAAAGCATTTAAAGAAATATCTGTGTCATGCCATATTTCACTCATCTTTCAAGGGTTTAACTTAGAACTAGATATAACTGATTCTTGTAAAAACATTCTTCCATTTTCAATGTTACGAAAATCTTTTTCAGTTCCAATGAAGAAATCCATTTTGTAGTATCATTATTTTTCTCACCTAATTTGCAGCATCTATGCTGAGCAAACACAAGAAGTCAAACAGAATGCCAGATATACATTAATAGACATAATTTATGCTGTTTAGGACAATTTAAGAACAGGAAAATGTGTTTTTACAGCAAAATGGCCATGTTGTTGCTCTCTCCAGTAAAACTCCACAATGGGCTGGCTAAGCCTCCCTCTGTACATACATGTATATATATAAAACACACAAAAAATATCCTGAAAGCCCTCTTTTGCTGTGAAGGCAAAATTCATTGCTGACTACAGTAGTGTTGTAACAGCATACCTACTGACGCTAGATTGGAAAGCCCAACCTTACGAGCTGCTGAGAATCTCCTGTGGGTAGGAAGAGCCTTTCTTCTAGAAAGACCATTTGCACAGAGGTCAGGAAATTCGTTAACTTACACAGTTACCAAAAAGGAATTAATTAGGCCGTTAGTGACAACATATAGAAAGCATGAAAAGTATGTAGGGAGGATGATACATGGGATGGGAGAATACCATAGATGCATTGAACTTTGCTTTCCAGAACAGCTGAAGATTGAAAAGGGACAGAGAAAGACACATGCCTCATGGTAGAAACAGATTTGCTGGAACAGGGGCTGGGGCAGCAGACAGAGCGAGAAGGAACATAAAGCTGCTGCCTGCTCTATGGCTAGCCTGGGATCCCTCCCTTTGGACCTTTGGGTGCCTAAGTTTTATCTCAGCCCTCTTGCTGAGGCCTTGTCAATGTTCTTCCCCAGTCTTAAAACCCCGGGGCTGCTTCTCAGCCCATGCTCATGCAACGGCTGAGCAGCTTCTCCTCTTTGCGGGAGGACTTGGTGCTGGGGGAGCACAGCCGCTCCCACTCAGGGACCCTGGAGCAGCCCCTGCGGCAGGCTGTGCTGGGGCTGGAGGTCACAGCAGAACGTATGCAGGTCACACACTTCACTGCCCCTGAGGCACAGGTTAAAGTCTATGCTGTCCTTGCTAATTACTGTAAATTATTAACTTTTTTCCCGAATTCTTAAATTAAGAACACCAGACTGATAAGAAACTCCTTTATTACTAAGCTTAAGTCTTTCTATTGCAGGCAAACCTGTAATATAATCCTTTTAGTAACCTCACAAACTCCATTTTAAAAGAATAAAGAAATACTGCTGCCCATGCATCAAAATGGTAAGAAAATACCATTTCAGTAGCAACATATACTCTTGAAATTCACCAAGAGAAAGCAGTCTTTTTTCCTGGGCTCATCTCAAAAAGGGCAGTTTTTGACAAGGGTATTTTTTTATATCAGATACCTTCACATGCACACATTAGATTACATAACATATTGTTGCAAACAGTAGTTTTCAATAATGTATTTTTTCTTTTTAAAAAACATACTTTTTGCATTTTTTAAGATCTGTCTTAAATGACATGATGACTGTCCTAAAAGGTATGATAATCTCTCTCGGTGTTTTTCCATCTCTTCAGTGACTTGCCATGGGAGATAATTATTTGGCAAGTACATGTTGTCACTCTTGCCAGGAGTGTCAAATATAGAAGTCAAGAAGACTTTGTAGGTTCCTGCTCCAGTATAGAGACACTTAATGAATGCCAGAAGTCAAATGAGCATAAAACTGTGTTCACAAAAGCTTGAGCAAGACACAACATGAAAATCTTCCAGTCTTTCTTAAAATATTTCTGTGAAATTTCTCCCCAGTTATTTTTTTTTCAGTTTACAGCTTATAGTAAAATAAGACTTTTACATTTTCTAATTCCTCCGCACAAGTTTTAAGATTTCACCAGTAAGAAAAGAAACTAGTAATATCATAGTGTCAGTACCTGAACTGAAGAAATATTCTTCCATAAAGATAATGAACTAGTTCTCAGACCACTGTCGCTCTGGCTGTAGTGTCATGACATGGTATCTCTGTGGCACCGTCACTGCCTCCCTTCTCCTTTCCCACTGTTTATTCATC